GCTAGAGGCCTTGCCGAGCTGTCCCAGGAAGTGCGACGTCTTGCTCAAACCCAGACCCAACCCGGCAGAAATGAAATGGCAGTGCTGGCACACCTCAGTGATATACTCCGCATTGTTAATTCGCATGATGCTTTGATTCACTCTGACATTCTGCCAGCCCTGCGATACATTGCTGATAATCTTGCAATCCCGCCTGCGCAAGTGGAAACTACACAGTAGCGAAGACAGCCATTTCCCCACAATTTTAATTTGTAATTTTTGCTGCAACTTCGTTTAATTCGTAATTCATACCATAATGAAGTATGCATGGAAAGTGGGCTTGGCACTGACGCAAAAAGCAGAGATTGCCCGTTTCGAGAGAGCGCGACATACGACATGCCGGTATCATGCTTTGGGTTATGACACAGTGTTGCGTCCATGTAATGCATCTACTGCACACTGTAGTTTTCAATCTATATTGTGGTATGCTGCATACACTTGTGCCGCAGCACAGTCGATCAAGTGGCTCAACGACATCGCTAGCCCAAATGAATCAAAACCCCGAGTTGGTTCTCCCCAAAACTCCTCGGGAACTGAGACGTCAATGCATCTCAGCACTCGAACTACAAGAACTCCTTATGCTGTGGTACCCGCACTTATCATACGCAGCATCAGCTAGGCTGCAAACCAGGCTGCGGTATATGCGATCCTTCCTCCCTATTTACACAAACGATTGTGTGTTTTGGCCGTATTGGAATGCGATCTGTGATGTTAATGTTAGTAATCTTGTTGCACACAGGGACGATCGACCGGAGACGTTAAGCTTGGCTGAGAATGAGGAGTTGTTTCAGTGGGTAGAGAACATTTCCTTGAGAATATATTGTTCACTAGACATGTATTCAGCGTGTTACACCGGGTGGAACTTACCGATAGCGTGGCCGACAGGACATCACAGGGAGATGCGTGCGAGGCTGTATCTTTGGAGCTCAATTTCAGGCACACCCCTCCCCCCACAAGAGCATTACCCACTGCTGCATCCACTTCATCAGCATGTCTTGTGTGTTCACGGAGACCTTAGCTTACCTCATGAAATTCAGGGCTACGAGCCTTTTGCAAACTTGCCGTAGCTGATCTTGATATCAGGAAGTGCTCGGTTTGCTCAAGTATTCGTGCAAGATGCAGCAAGAGTCCTTTGGTAATGAGCCGCGACAGACCTAATGAACCACGCTGTGCCCAATGATCTTCCCCTGCCTTCGTCGCTTGACAGTTTAAGAGCGCAGATTTTGCAAGCTTTTGACAAGTGTCCTGCAAAGTGGAAACAGGCGGAGGGAGAAGGTTGGATATTGCAAATTGGTCTCAACCCCAGGGATCTAAGTAAGATGTGTGTGGCCACGGCGCCCCTCCAACATCTTTGTGCACAGGTCTGCTCCTATATCGAACTCACCTGTCCTGGACATAAGTACTCTACTGTTGTGATACGAGACTCTGCGGGAAAGGACCTGCACAGAGATTTAAGAAACTCACACTACCCGCAAGCCGTATGGAGTTTAAGCCATTTTGAAGGAGGGGCCATCTGGATTGAATCACCCAAAGGTGATGTTCTCAAGGAATATTACGGGACTCAAGTAAGGGGCTGCAGTTGTGAGTTGTCCCCATTCAAGCCGTTACGTTTCACTGGGAAGACGTTACTACACTGCACCGAACCCTGGACCCAGCGAAGAGTGGTTATGGTTGCTTTTACTGTAATGGGGGCGGCATCGGCCCCTACATGTGTTCGAGAATGTTTGGAAGCTGTAGGCTTTGTTTTCCCGTATAGTTTTGAGTGCGAAACCCATGCCATGCAACCGTTGGGGCCAGGTCAGTTATCGCAACAGCAGTTGTCATTTGCCACGGGAAAGAAGACAGGGATCTGGGAAGTTGGCAAACTCAAGCATGATAAACCAGTGCTCCTGATGCTGTCTGATAGTGAAGACGACCTCCCAGAGACTTGTCTGGATTCAGTCACATCCTCCACCCACAGGTTGGAGTCGCAGGAAACCGTTATAGTACCGGGGTGGAGACCTTAATGTCCGCTATTGTACCCTCTACTCCAACGGGTATGTTGTGTGCAAGACGCAACTAAGCCAAAAGGTTTCACCTTTCCCAAGGAGCAGTCTATTGAAGTCATTGCACTATTAATTAATCTTGGACTAGGTGCCTCCTTTCTCTCTCTCTTTTTCTTCTCTACCCCCGATACCCTGTATCTCCCTCCTTTTCCAGTATGTTTTAGCCCTGTCCCGGTTGGTTTGTCCGCGGATGCTGACATCTAGACCGTATATATGGTCCAACTTTGGAGTTAGGCGTACCCTAAAAACCACTAACCCTCACCGCTGCTGCCGCCATGGAAGAAGCTCTGCAAACTGGTGGAAATCCATAATGCGAATTAGTGAAATTGCATGGTCTGCATGATCTGAACTCTGCATGGGCACTACGACTTGCTGGTGAGCTCAGCTTACTGCATGGGCTCGCGATTATCTTCAGATGTGAAAATGATGTTCGTGGATAGCCGAGAGTCGTCGAGGTTACTGCATGATGCACGGATGATGGATATCTCGCCAATGAAGCTATTTCCAGTGAGTCTGCACGTTTACACAACTCTGTCGAGACGGTACGGCCGACCTACGAGACCTTACCTCGGCATTCAAATGCGCCCATTTTGGGCAAGAGTTTTGTGGACTATGGGAGTGAGTTCACCGTACAGAGGGAGATGGTTACACTACAATCGCTGCTGCTGGTTAACGTGGGCTGCACCACCATGTAAAGTGAGATGGTCACATTACAATCGCTGCTGCTGGTTAACGTGGGCTGTACCACTTGCGGTAAGATGTCTGCTACAACGGAAATGAAGTTGTAATGACTGCCCTATATGCCCAAGCTGGCGATTGGTTTGTCGTAACATTTTACGCGGTCGGAGCACTGTTCTGTTGAGTCATGGTAACAACCTGCGCGGGCCGAGTACTTCTGAGTCCCAGTGACACCGTTGCATGAGAAGGCGCAATTAAGAATTCATGCATGTAGCTTGGAACGCTGTCAAATTCAAAGGGTGTCTCATGGCGTATGTCACCCTTTTCTGTATGTTATGTGCAGTACTCAGTTTCACATGTATTACCAAGGAGGAAGCTTTGTACACCTGAGCCTTCCCGGCTCAACATGACCTTTATGGCCCAGTATGCTCATCTTTGCCCCTTTATTGCCTCCTCGGC